CTTGTGTAAATTATCATAGCTTTGTTATCCACTCATCTGCTGAAGGGCGCTTTGGCTATTTCCAGATCATGGCTATTGTAAATAGCGCTGCTATGCATATATTCTTTTGAAATGATGTTTTGGTATTCTTAGGATATATTTCCAGAAGTGGGCTTGCAGAATGGTAGTTCTGTTTTTAATTTTTTTTAGGAAACTCTATACTGTTTTCCATAGAGGCTGCACCAGTCTGTTTTACCACCAACAGGGGGACAGGAGGACTGCCTTTTCCCCGCATCCTCGCCAGCACTTGCTGTTTATTGATGGTATCCATTCTGTCAGGTGTGAGGTGATCTCTTTGTGTTGCATATCTCTGGTGATTAGACATTGAGCATTTTTGTTTGTGGATGATGCACTATCATCAAATTTTCATCCAAGACTGATTTTTTTTTTTACTACTCAGTTTGTGTTTCTGCCATTTTTCTAGCTACCCAGCTACCCAGCTACCTGTGATAATGGTACCCAAAAGTACAGTCTAAGCCAATGTAGCCAATAAAATAATTCTGTTTATAATATGCTATATTTCAGTGAAAAAAAATACATGTTTATAAATTATTTAGTACCTTATAGCCATCTTATGTTTCCTGTAAGTGGCTATTTATTTATTTCAGAAATATAGAGGTATCATTGGATTATAAGTTTCTCCTCATTTCAAACATTAAATTGTAGTTAGAAAATGTGCTGTATAACTTCATTTTTAAAAAATAACCTACATTAGAAATAGATACAATTTCATACTTCTTAGTTATGGCACTAACAATTTTTTGCACACACAATTTTATGTGTCTCTAATTCTCAGTGCAGTTTGAAAAGGCTTGCCAATGCATGCATGTGCTCTCTCATCCTTACCTTTTTAATTTAAATAATGCAATTCACAAGTATTAAATATGGTGCAGATATGGATAGAACTCATAACATCTTATTTTCTAAACAGTGACATGACTATATATTATACCTATTTTATGAACTGTTAGAAAATGAAAGGAGCTTATAATACTAATCTTTTTTTTCCCCATTTCTTCCTTCTATAAAGAGTAAAATTACCCTTAGTTTGAATTTGTCAATTGCTATAACCACAGGTATAGCTTATGACGTTAAGTTTGACAAAGGACAACAATGAAATCATTTTAAGAAAATATGTGAATATATTTGCAGAGGCCTAGTGAACAATGAAAATAGTTTGGGGATTAAAAGTGAAGAGAGAAGAGAAGAGAAACTAGTTGTGAAGAGGTTTGGAAATGAATAATGACAGCTATAATGTCAGAATGCAGGATATTGGATGAGACAAATGACAGCAGGTCCTGAAAAAGGCCTAGCACAATTGTCATCATGCAATTCATTTATTTATGATCTTATTAGAGAGAGTAGAGGAGGGAGTATTTTTATTCTAAATATTTAGATCAATACAGGCTACTTTGTAGCAAGAAATTTTTATTGTCAAAATAACTCTCAAGATCACCCATACATTTTTTTCTTCATTTCCTTTTTATTCTTTCCGGTTTTTATGTCTAATGAGTTGTAGATACAAACTGCTTATATTGTTTTATTCCCTCCTTGTCCATGGAAATATTTAAACATATTATGCAGATTCATGTTTTCCACATACGATTTGATATAGTAAATACAGACTCTGTTTTACCACTTTTCTCTTTGTACTACATGCTTAAAATATCAAGAAACAGAAGTAATCATTTTTATTTGAATTGTGTATTAATTCAGCAACTATTTACTGAGAACTTACTATGTGCCAGGCCCTGTGAGGTTGTAAAGGATAAGCATGTTTTTCAAACCTATGCAATTTGTTTGTTTGTGCATTTCAAGGGAGGGAAACTTCTAGAATCTGAATTAGATTATGGAAAAATGACTGGCTAATCCTAAATGTTACTAAGCTTTTCAATGACAAATTATGTTTGCCTTGCCAGTTTTTATTATGGGAATATGATTTGTGTGTCCTTGTTTCAACTTAAATTATGGGATTGTTTTACTTCCGTCTTAAAAATAGCAAATAAATGATAAATGAGCTACAACCAGTCATGACATAGGCAAGACCATAATAATTTTCTCCAAAGTAGACTGCCTAATAAATCTTAATTTTAAGTAACCAGCAAGTAACAGAAGTGACCTTGCTTATGCTACAGCTTATGCTGATAATTTAAAATACATATTTTTTCATTGATTTTTTTTCAGGGAGGAAGGGAGAGAGAGAGTTAAAAACATCCATGAGAGAGAAACATCTATCAGCTGCCTCCTGCACACTCCCCTATTGGGGATGTGCCCACAACCAAGGTACATGCCCTTGACCAAAATCTAACCTGGGATCCTTCAGTCCACTGACCAATGCTCTATCCAATGATCCAAACCAGTTAAGACTTATGACAATATTTTTTAAATGAGACTAGATTAGATAATTAAAAACAACATTTTACCTAATGACAATTGAGAAAATATAGGTGAAAGTTCTTTGTGGGGACAAACAGTGCATTCGTGCATTGAAGTGTAACAGTATTTAAGAATATAAAACATTACCTTCTATCACATATTTTATTTTCCTCACTAACCACCAAGAAATTAGCACATTTGCCCTTAACTATAATACCACTTAAGAATTATAGACTAAAGTTGTGGTGAGTATACATTTTACATTTTAGAATACCTTCCTTTATAATTCTCAAAAATATATCTATTTAGAACTGATTCAAGGAATGAAATTAATTCTAGAAATTTCTTTGCAGGGTAGACTATGAAAATGTCAACATTGGTATGACTTTTCACTCCCAGCCTCCACCTTGTTGTAATGGGCCTCAAGTCCAAACTTTTGAGACTATCCAGATATATAAAAAGCCAGCAAACAGAATGCCATAACAACCATAAGACCAATTGCTATGATGCCCACTGTGGTCAGTGAACCAGCTGGGTCAGGGTAGAGGGTGGGACTGGCCTGCCAACTTCCTGAGGACCCTCCTACCAGTATGCCTGCCCCTGATGGGCCTCTCCAGCCCTTCTCCTCAGCTGGCCTCTCCCCTGATCAGCCTGCAATCTCTTGCCCCAGGTTGGCCAACCTCCCATAGCCCCTCCCCTGGCCACTGGCCCCCTCATTGGCCCCCACACCCTGTTCAGTGGTGGGGCTGACCAGCCCACAGCCTCTACCCATGGCCAGCCCTGCTCCCAATCGCCCCCCCCCCCATCTCAATCGGGGGTGGGGCCCAACGGCCAATTACTGGTGGCCTCCTGCCCCCAGCTGTCCCATCACTGATTGGGCCCAATCAGGGTGGAGCATCTGGCCAACCTCCCACTGCCTCCTCACAACAGGCCCGGCCCTGATCCGCCCTGATTGGGACCAGGCCAGCTGGACCCCACCTGTGCATGGATTTGTGCACTGGGCCTTGAGTTGATTCAATAATTGCTTAAGGTGCTTACTTATACTTCTCCTAGTTGTCAGCCTTCACTGAGGTTTAGCATGAAGTGCATGTCTTAGGTAAAGCTTTACAGTTACAGCTCAAAGAACATTGGAATTACTCAGCAGAGATTAATTGAGGATGATGATAAATTATAGCAATTTAATAGTTTTTATGAGTCCTAGAAGTACTGTTAAAATAAGATTTGTATATTAGTAAGACCAGGAATCTAAAAAAAGATGAACCCATTTGTAACTTCTTAAATATAATTTTATATATATGAATGATATTAAAGTTTCCAAAAAATCAATGGAGAGAAGTAAACTGTAATTTTGAAAATAATTGAAGACATGAGCTTAGCTAAGTCAAAGTATAGAAATCTCACCCAAATATAATTACCAAAACAATATTTCTCCCTTGTTTTGAAACTTCCCTAGTTTTAAATTTATTTATTGTGCATAATATCCCATTTTATTCCTTTCTCTGAAATTATCTTTGATTTACATCATTTGCAAGGAGTGTTTTTTAAATTTGTGAGATGAGCCCATTCTTTCCTGGCTCTTTTCCTCTATTTTCCATTGGGCTCATTTTTTCTTGTTTGATCTAGGCAAATTGTTTCTGATGAGACACATACTTATAGGAGAATGAAGATGCTACTTGATGTGCTTCATGAACATGTTATAGCTTCCCAGAATTTTCCCTGACTTGTATAGATTAATACCTGCAAAGTACTAATAGAATCTAATTGGAGAGATATGTAACCATAGCATGTTTGAGAATCAATTTATCCTTACAAGAGCTTGCTGAAAACTCAGTTCAGAATTCCAGAAAAGGCCAGAACAGGTGACTTATTATTTATATCAACCTTCTAATACAGATTTTTTTTTTCCGAAAGGCATTATTTTTCCACAATAATATAAAATATTGATGAGTGGGAGGAAGAGAGTATCTTCAAAAAGGATTCTAAATCAATTTTTCAGGATGTGAGCATTCCTGTTAATGGGTTGCTTCATGAGGTGCATCTCTCATTAGACTGACAGGCTATGGAAATCTTAGGCCTCAGGAAATGAGTCACGGAGTCCTTTCTTCTGAAGAGATTCATTCTGGAGATGAATAAAAAACAAGGCTATTATGGTAAATAGTGGTATAAATTTTAGTATTTCAAAAATGAATCTAGACAAACAGTTTGAAAGTTTTCTGTGTATTTTACCAACCTGCCTTTCAAATAGAAATTTTTGTATTCTTACTGTGAATGTTGTATTTCCTACACCTATAGTTAAAAAGGATGTTTATTCAATCTCAGCTTGATAAGCTTTTTTCTTAGTTTTTCTGTTTGTACTGTAACTTTAAGCTGATAATATGATTTTGATTATATTTTAAAAGAATAATTTTGCTAGCGGAATGGGTTTGTAAAAATAAGCTGTATAATGTTCAATAAAGCAAGTATGAGTGAAATTAAATATATTCTTTCATTTTGGAAGCGGTGAATAAAAAGTGCTTGGCCAATACCGTACCATTAATCTATTCTCTTTTCTTCTTTCTCTCTCTTTACTTCTCTCTCTCCAATAGAAGTGGAACAAAAAGGTAATTAAATACCTTTCATAAATTATATATTATTTATAGGCTAAGTTATTTAACAGTTTAACATTTAGTTAACATAATTTTGTTATTAATTCTTATCTATTTTATGAAAAATTATTTACTACTTCTGCTGCTCAACTTCACTTCAGTCTGTTGGCTTGACCAGTGCTGGTTTGATTCTTGTTTCCTAAGACAGTTTAATAGTGTAAAAATTTTAATTGTGTATTTTATTCCTCTTTATTTTTAAATGAATAGTTAAAAATCCAGTAGATGGTGATTGCTTTAGATTTGTTTTTATTTCTATACTAATTTTTCATAACTTTGCTGTTTTTCCCCATTTATATTTTAACTATTGGGGGAAAACGGAGATGGATTTATTGAAATATCTTAAAATAAATTACTTTTTAAGCCAAGGGCTTATTATTAATTAATATAAAGTTTATATGTTATTTTTCAACAATGCCTACCCATTCTTTATAATTATATCCATCATATTAGAATCCTGGGAAATTCTTCTAACATCAGTTTTATAAATTGAATTGGTCCTCTATCCTTGTTATGGATGAGTTTGATAGCTTTTCCCCCAATTTTTTATTTCTCCAAAAGTAAAACTTGGGGCACTTTAATGATGTACTTTCCTTTTTAATAACCTCCAAATCCTAGCTCAGATTCACTTTAGGCTGCTTCTGGTGGATCTAGGCTTATAGTTACTATTAAACATCTAATTACTAATATAAAAAAAATAATATTTTTTTTCATTAATCATTGAACTATTGGGTAAACACCCAAGTTCCTTGTGAATTTCTAATTCCTCAACACAATACACGTGTAATAATTTGAAACATAACAGTAGACTGCATGATTATTCTTCAGTGTGCTTGCTTTGCGAAAATATTACAGCAGTGTTTCCCATAGCAGGTTCGGAGGAATGTTCCACTACAGAGAGGCTCTGTAGAAAGGATTCCATGATCAAACCAGTTGGCAAAATTTGCTCACCTTCCCACTTCTGCTTTGGAGATTCACTAATGTGCCTAAGCTATTGGAATCTCTGCCACAACTCTTTCTAGCATGATATGGGTTTATACGTGACTAAGGACCCTTTTTTCTTTCTGTGTAACGTCTAGCTATGCTCCTAGAAATGGGTGCTTTGAGGACCACCCTTTGGGAAACATTGCTCTATAGACCCTTTGTTACAAATCAATCAGCCAAGCTTTCTTACCACCACTGACGCAATGTGCTACTGAATCATATTAAAAATCAACTTAATCAGATGCCTCTTACCCATTTTCAGTCTGAAGTATGAGCAGCAAAATATTACAGCAAGTATTTTAATGCTCTTCTCATGTAACAGTAAAAGGTACATGTTTTTAAGTTCCAATACTACTGTATTTAACAGGACATTTTTAACTGATTAAAATCTAGACCTTGGGTTCTGCTCTGTAACCTGTCACCTTTTCTTCTCTCCTTATTGTTTCTTTCCTTTCTTTCTCTTCCTCTCTCCTTTCCCTTCCAGTATTCATCCATCACTCATCTTTAATCGTGTGGGTTGCATGCTCTGTGTGCACTGTCGCAGCTTTCAGAGCTTTGTTTCCTAGAAGATTCAGTGGCCTGTATTCCAGGGCTTTACTTTCCCTTTGCTATTACATTTAATTATTATTGGATTTCTACATATTTCTTATTGACAAATATTGATTAGCTGATGTCATAAATGACAAGTATTGAATAGCTGATATCAAAAACAACCCGTTTTGAACATTTTAAATAAGGTACACAAAAACACGTATTAACATTTGCATTTGTTATGTCTATGGGATACACAGACATACAGCTCATTTAGTATGTATACATAGACATACAGCTCATTTGTATATGTGTAACCAAAAATATGGTAATACATGTGTACAAAGGTAGAAACCAAAGGAAAGCACAGCTACTCATAGAAGGCCAAATTTTTTCAGCCAACGAAATCGAAACGGTTTTCAGTGAAAGTCAAAATGAATGTGTATGACTACATTGTGTCCTCAGAAGAATGCAGCAAAAATAACTAAGTGGTGATGGGCATCTCTTGTGAGAGTCGCATTCCACTTGGTGGAAAATAAGAATGAATGGCAAAATATAAACATTAATGTATTTATTATTTTAACTCTTTTCCTCCCAACAGTTTTTCTCTGTCCTGGACTGCTCAGGGGAGTATACCAGAGTGAACATTTGTTTGAGTCCGACCACCAGTCTGGGGCTTGGTGCAAAGACCCTCTCCAGGCTTCTGACAAGATTTATTACATGCCCTGGACCCCTTACAGGACTGACACCCTGACCGAGTACTCATCCAAGGATGACTTCATTGCCGGAAGGCCAACCACAACCTACAAGCTCCCTCACAGGGTGGACGGCACAGGGTTTGTAGTGTACGATGGTGCGTTGTTCTTCAACAAAGAGCGCACCCGGAACATAGTCAAGTTTGACTTGCGGACTCGGATCAAGAGTGGAGAGGCCATCATAGCGAATGCCAACTACCACGATACCTCCCCTTACCGGTGGGGAGGGAAATCGGACATAGACCTGGCCGTGGATGAGAATGGGCTGTGGGTCATCTATGCCACAGAACAGAACAACGGTAAAATTGTCATTAGTCAGCTGAACCCCTACACCTTACGGATTGAAGGGACATGGGACACTGCATATGACAAAAGGTCAGCTTCCAACGCATTTATGATTTGTGGGATTCTGTATGTCGTCAAATCTGTGTATGAGGACGATGACAACGAGGCCACGGGAAATAAGATTGACTACATTTACAACACGGACCAAAGCAAGGATAGTGTGGTGGATGTGCCCTTTCCCAACTCATACCAGTACATAGCAGCTGTGGATTACAACCCCAGGGACAACCTGCTTTATGTATGGAATAACTATCACGTGGTGAAATACTCTTTGGATTTCGGACCTCTGGATAGTAGATCAGGTAAGTTTGACTTTTGATGGTTCTCAAGAGGGAAAATGTTTACAGTTGATTCTCAATAAGTTTATTGTGCATTTGGTTCTACTGCTTTTTTGTTTTTTTTTCTGGTCTTTTTTTGGGTCTTTTTTGGGGTCATTGTCTTTTCACCTAAACAATGCTGCTGTTAACCACATTCAGCTATAAAACCTCACTCTTTCTCCTCTGTGCAGCTGATCTCCAGTCCTTAGCCCTTCTTTGAAGGGCACGGTGACCATCAGCTGATTAATTCTTCAGGAAGTGTAGTATGCAAAATCTCTACTGAGATAGAATGCTAGTCCATCTAATTCATTGTGACTTGCCTTCAATAGTGTTCTCTACTTGGAAAACATCAAAGGGCTGGCTCGTATGAATTTTTTCACAGTCTTACACCAATATATTCACCTCATAGAAAACATCATATATGACCACTTCTAATATTGTTATTTAACTATAAATATGTCTATATAACTGATACATACAGAAAAATGTTCATAACTGATAAATATAAAAATATCTTAATTTTATTTTAAAAATGCAAAACACAGCTATGAATAAACTTGAGATAATATTTAATTCCCTGTTTATTTGTTTTTTATAATCACTAGGACATACTGTTTAATTTTCAGAAATTGCTTTTTATTTTACTGACTCAACTGAGCAGAATTATCTCAATTTCGAAGCTACAGTATTTTCTGGCGTAGAAGACGACCCCCCTAATTTTACAGTTAAAACATAGGTTTAGGCCTATATTCGCTGTATAAGACTACCCCCCACTTCCGAGGCAACACCAGTTCTTTGTTTAATTAAATTTTTAATGAATGACATTTTTCGAACGTTGACTTTTTTTCGTTTCAAAAGTCGTCTTATACGCCGGAAAATATGGTAAATTATTTCAGACTAGCAATAATATTATTTCATATGTCAAAGCATAATGGAAAACTAAGATAAAGGCATCTGAATTTGATAGAAATATAGCAGTTTAAAGTGTGTTTTTTTTTTATTTCAGTACTTACATGTTAACAATGAAATTAACTGAAATCATTTACAGTTTATTCTCAATAAGATTATTGTATATTTTTATCAGACTGACTTTTTTATTTTCTCTATTGCTTTTACCATTCTTTTACTACCAAACTATTCTGCTTTCCAGCTTAGGTCATTTTATACATCTCTTAAACAACTAGATTCTAAGTTCCATATGGCTAATAACCTTTTCTCCCCCATCCTTTCATTAGATTTTAAATTGGCCATTATTTCTGCCTTCTCAGCATTAGTGTAATAGGTGGCATATGCAAATAAAGATTCAATAACTCTTTGATGAATGACTGAAGGAAAGAATGGCTTTTCACTTCTTACTGAGGTATAATGCCAAATTATGTGGCATTTTCTCTAATGCTAAGAGGCTGTAGTCAGAGTGATAAGAGTGATAGCAATGCTTTGCATGCCGAGAAATGCAGATATTATGTTGAACTGTTTATTTTTGTTTGGTTGGTTGGTTGGTTGGGTAGTTGGTTGGTTGGTTAGTTGGTTTTTCTGTGGAAGGAGAAGCCTAACTAATCAAGAGCATCAAAAATAACTTCTCGCCAAAACCGGTTTGGCTCAGCAGTAGAGCGTGGGTCTGCCTACTGAAAGGTCCCAGGTTCAATTCCAGTCAAGGGCATGTACATTGGTTGCGGGCACATCCCCAGTAGGGGGTGTGCAAGAGGCAGCCTGTCGATGTTTCTCTCTCATCTACGTTTCTAGCTCTCTATCTCTCTCTCCCTTCCTCTCTGTAAGAAAAATCAATAAAATATATTTTAAAAAAATAAATAACTTCTCCTTAGTCATTCTTCAAAAATCTTCTAACTCAACTGCAGTATCTGACTCACCTCTGTACAGGTTAAGTTTCTCAATCCAATGTGCCTTTCCATTGAAAACCTAAGGAAGAATAATCTGGAGAATTATGGGGAAGATAATTCTTTCAGGGCTGTGATATTCTTAACCACAATTTATATTTTGACAGTGGAAACTCTGTCGATGAGTAGTTCTTGGCATTTTTTTTTTTTTACTTCTAATTGGAAGAGGAAGTAATTTCTACTTGCCTCCAGAGAAATAATAAGAAATAAGTCATCATTTTTAGGTTAGTCAGTGAATAAAGGGAAGTAACATATTTCAAGTTTTATTTATTGGAAAGAACATGAATTATTTTTATTTAGAACAATATGTAGGTTAAAATTAATTAACATTCCAAGATTTTTGTTGGATGGATTGAGCCAAATTCCTAACTTAGTTTTTATAACTTATCTTTAAAGGGTACCTAGAGACTAGCCAAAAAAAATTCCAACATATATGAATAAATGTATGTGTGTATGTATTCATATACAGGGTGTCCCCAGAAATGTATGTAGCTGATAGCTTCATTTTGAACATGAAATATATTTATATAACTGCCTTTATAATTATTCAAAGTGTGTGTTTACATTTTTTTGAGACAACCTTTACATAACAAGTCACTGTAATTGTGGATATAAGGAAACTTACACTACTCGTTTAATTTTCTTCATTTGTTTACATCTGGGAATTAAAATAAAAACCATCTTGCCCACATGTACTAGGCTCATATTTGTTAAAAGGATGTTATTAAAATGGAAAACATTGAGGAATGTTAAAGTTCAGCTTTCTAACAAATTCCTAACTTAAGCCAGGATTTTTACACTTTTTAAACAACAATTAAGACGTCTGCTTTGCAAAGCTTGAATTTTCACTCTTATTCAATCTATAAATATAATAATAAGATAATATCATTTGTCATGCACAAATGCTCAACTTAAAAAACTAGTACTAATCTGAACTTATCCTGCAGTTTTGAGGTGGAAAGAATAAGTGTGGGAAGTACATTCTATGCATGATGTGTGGATATGAGAATTTCAATTAGCATTAATAGATGACGTTAATCTTTTTTCACACAAATAGTTTCAGCTGCATGTTTTTCTTTGGTAAATTACATTGACATTTTTCAAAGAAATTGCCTTTAGTGAATTCTTACTATGGATCTTCTTGTGTAAAAACCAACTTACTATAAATATGTTAAGGTCATAAAGACTGATTCTCTAAGAATGTAGATCCAAAATGTATTTGCTGCTGCCATCTGTTAGAAGCAGGCTGAGTGTTTTTGCGCTGGTTTTAAGTAAGTTCTAATCAATGAAAATTTACATTTTTGGAGGTTGTTTGTTTGTTTCTTTGTTTTTGTAATTGAGTATTTGTGTTTTACTTCTACTGAATATAACTATTCTGTATATTAAATGATTTAGATGTTGGAGGTTAAGAGGCAAATCTTAACCTTCTCTGGATATATAAAAATCCTGTGGTGAAGCGTACAAAGGTACTGAACATGGCTTGGGAGTCTGGAAGACTTGAGATTGAATTCTACCTCTAGTTTTTGTGGGCTGGTTGCTCAGCCTTAGTCTTGGTTTCCACAGCTCTAAAGTGGAAAAAAAAAAAAAAAACCAATACCTAGTTCAGAAGATTATTATTAGATTTTAATGAGATGATGCATGTAATAACACAACCTAATAGCTACACATCAACCCAACAAAAGCCATTATTATCCATATTTTATTTTATTTTTACTGTTTGATTTTTAGAAATAGAGGAAGAGAGAGAAAAATATTGATTTGTTCCATATATTTATGTATTCTTTCATTGATTTTTGTATGTGCCATGATCAGGGGTTGAACTTGCAACCTTGTTGTATCAGGAAAACACTCAAACTAACTGAGCCACCTGGCCAGGACATCCATATTTTCTAAATGAGGGATTAAGGTACTAAGGTTCATTCAACTTACTCAAAAATCTCCCAGCTATTAAAGTGCAGCCAGACTTTAATTTCCTGCTCCCTTCTGTAGTATTAGTGGTGGAAAAGTATGCTTACTGATGTTGTGTGTCTAGTTTCATTCATTGGTCAGAAGTAATCCCAATCTCCATGTGCCGAATATTCTAGATGCAAATCTAATTTGTAGTTTTCTCAATTAGATCATTTCTATGGCATAGCATTCTAAAATGTCATATCTACTCTTTAACCATGAAATCAGATGTATATTTATAACAAGAGTCAATTTTAAATTATAAAATTATTAACTTTAAGCGAGTAGAAAGAAGTACTTAGCTTCTCAGAAATATTCTACAGAGTAGTTTCAGAAGTGATTCAGTTAGACTTCTATATTTTTCCTAATACCCATTCTCAAAGTGCTCATTGTCCTGTCATTTGTTTTGCTGGCCCAATTACATGACTTTTATATTTTTGTATTCTTTTCAAGGAAAACATCGGGGGAGTGGTAAATCTGTGAAAATGGTTATTTTCAACATAGCTATATAAAGAATTTAATTTTAATTTGATGATTTTAAACTTGTGTTTCAGATGTTCATTGTTGAACATAAGTAAAGTTTCTTCTGAAAAGTTTTTTAATGGGCCTGCTCTTCTGGACAAAGTTTTTAAAAATCTGAAATTTGTTCTCACTTTTCTCTAAAAACATTTTTTCAGAACATCATGCTTTCTTTACTTATTCTGCATTATTTTAAATGCATGCTTGCCAGCTTTTTAAAAAAAAAGTTTTCCAGCTTGAAATTAGTGGAGAAATGAATCAGAACTTGTTTGATATTGCTATTCAAATAGCTTCTATTTGCAGATTTTGCAGAAACAGTTTTTAATAATATAGTTAGTTCTCACATGTTTAAGAATATACAAGTGCAAATAATTTTCAGTTTATAAAAAGCCTTGTTCTGAAACTAATGAGACTTTGATTCATATTGAACTAATCATATTGATATTGTTTTAGTTGTTATTACTTATAATTCCTTAGTGAGTACCTAATAAATAGCTGATGTGTCAGGATTTGTTGACTATTTTAATTAATAAATAAATGAACTAATGTATATATGTTTAAAATCCTTCTTAATCAGAAGATTATGGGGATGGGAATATTAGTTCTAAATTTTGTTTTATTAAA